TATATATATATATACATACACATACATACAGGAGATAAATAATGGAGCAGCACAGATGCCCATGATAAGGTGAATGCATAAAGGAAATGTGGTTTTCATGCACAATGGAGTACCCCTGTGCCACAAAGATGGATAAAGGAGACATTCTTAGGTAAATGGATACATATTTAAATGTCATATTGTTTGTCTTGTGTTAGAAACCAAAAGTAAGGACCAAAGTTGATGATACATATCGGGAAGTAGGAAGAAAATGTTCAAATGGGATGGGGAAAAAAGGAGAGGGAAGGGGTAATGGAAATAAGGGAGAAGGAAAGAAAGAGAATAAAAGAAAAAATTGGAAACAAAGCTTTTGTAAAAAGGATGGGAGGAAGGGTTGAAAGGAGGAGACGGGAGTGGGGAAAAAAGAAGAATCATGATAATTTTATGCAGGGGTACAGATTTCCCGTGCTAAATGCGATCAGTATGTATATCTAAGCTATACCAATAAAGTGAATTCACAAACATGAACAGTTCTTAAGGTGAAGCCCTTACCCCATGTGACTGCATCTGGGGACCTTCAGAAAGTCTTGTTTGTTAAAGGAGGAGCAGGTGAGGCCCCCCTCTGGCAGACCTGTAGCCTTTGAAGATGCAGAATACCCTGCACTCCTTCCTCAGGTGAGGACACAGAGAAATAATTTGTGGCATTCTATTTATTTATTATTTATTTATGGGGATTGAACTCAGGTCCTTGCACTTTCAAGGCAGGTGGTGGAACCACTGAGCTAAATCCCTGGCCCTTATTGTTGAAACAGGTTCTCACTATGTAATTCAGGTTGGCCTTGAACTCACTTTATAGCCCTGGATGGCCTTGAACTTGAGGCAATCCTCTTCCCTTAGCCTACTAAGTACTGGGACTACAGGCATGTGCCACCATGCCCAACCAAATGGTGGCCTTCTGCAATCCAGGAAGAAAGCCCTGAATTCAAATCAAACCCTAACAGAACCTTTATGTACCCATTGATTTTCAAGCTTTGAATCTGTGAGAAAATAAATACTCATTTAACAGCCCAAGGTAACATTTTTCTACATGATGTCTCTTTTCCTTATTCATCCTTCTGTACTTTAACCTAAAATCTACCTCTCTTTACAATTTGCAAACCATCTTTCACTAAACAACATAAAGCCTGAGTTCACAGGAAATGTTTTCATATGTTCCACACTAAGATGAACATTTTAATCTCACAAATGGGAAGTATATTCACAAAATACTTCCAAAATAAATTTGAGCTTGGAAAGCAGTTGTAAAATACTAAAAAATTAAGAGCCTGATAAGGTTTTGGATAGTGTTGTGAACAATAATATTATTTTTTACATTTGAAAGAAAATAAGATAAAATATGAATCATTGCTAATACAATCAATCTTAAAAGAAAAGTGAGGGCTGGGGATTTTGCTCAGTGGCACTATGCCTGCCTTGCCTTGCAAGTTTGTTCCTGGTACCAAAAAGAAGGTGAAATTTAGGACAGCATTTGAGCTCCACATTGTGTATCTACTAGGAAAGAGGATCTTGTGTTATGACACATTTCTAGCAACTGCAGCCCTGGAAAATACTTGCAGATGAGAAAAAGCTTTTATAGATCAGAGTGGTGAATGCTAGGCAAAGTTTAAAAAGAGAGAAAGCAAATACCAGGATTATATATTTATTAAATTTCATGATCACCTTGGGGAAAATCTAGAGGAGAATACTAAAAAAACAGTTTGCAAGCAATTGGAAAAAGTGTGGTGAGCAGCACAGCACTGGGGTTAATTTGATGCACCCATGAAAAGTGGCCCTGTGTGGAGTGGTCTGGGTGCTGTTGGGGTGGTGTGGATGCAGGAGATGTGTGGTATTGGGAGATGGCATGGTGTTCATGTCTAGTGTTGGTGTCTCCGAGCCCATACTCTCCCGACGTGGGACTCAAACACCTCACGGCTAGGGGAAAAAGCACCTGCATCCTCAGCCTCCTCCCTGAGGGACACCGAGGCTGGGCATCCGTATGTGTGGGCAATGTTTATGGCTACAGCCTTTGCCATTGCCAATAGCATTGAGAAATATATACATATTATCAGAACCAATAAATTCTTGCTCTTGAAACCTATATTGCTGAAAGGGGGAGGAATTGCAGTCACTATTTGTTTAAAAAATATGTCACCCCATGCTCTTATTTTGGGTCCTATGTTTTTACCTCCCAATATCTATAACAACCTAGCTTCATAAGGGAATTGAAGAAATCTCTTTCCCCACTCTTTAAGAGATCCCTGCTAGAAGAGAAAGGAGTTTTAGCACACGCTCAAACCAAACCTCACCCTCTCATACGTTTATTGTTGTTTTGCAGCTGTGTGTTGAACCCACAGCCTCCCCCACACTAACTGCACATCAGCCATGGAGCCACATCCCGACTCCCACCAGTCTGATTTACCTGAGGCAGGTAGTGGAACCACTGAGCTAAATCCCCTCATTTAACCTGAGACAGGAGAAGCAGGTGTGGAGAGGCGAGGATCCAGCGGTGAGTGTGCAGAGATCTAGGTCAGAAGATGCAGACTGTCTTCAGAGGGCCTGGGGTTTAATGTGGAGGTGCAACTCATAAGAATCCATGGGGAGTCAATAGGAATCCAAAGGGGAGAGAGGGAGAGGTAGGGGGGAGAGTGGGAGGCAGAGACAGAGAGAGAGAGGGTAAGAGGGGGCAGGGGAGGTAGAAGAAGGAGAAGGAGAAGGAGGAGGCAGGGAAGGGCAAGGGGAAGAAGAGGAAGAGGAAGAGGAAGAGGAAGAGTAGGAAGAGGAGGAGGAGGCGGAGGCGGAGGGGGAGAAAGTCTCACTCAAAGTTAAGCCGGCTTTAAACTCACTGTGTCATCTAGTGTGACCCTCCACCTTGCAGTAGTCTTCCTGCCTCAGCCTCTCAAGGCTGTGAGCCACGATACCTGCCTGGCCTCAGCATCAATTTTAGAAGAAAGTTTTTCATGATATGTTGGTCTGGGTTGAAAAAATTTTTCAGGGCATTAAACCCTTTAAGCCAAACTCTCCTGGCCTTGAAAGTTTGTGCTAAAAAATATGTTGTAATCCTAATAAGTTTAATTTTATATGTGATTTTGTTTTACTGACAGCTTTTAATATTTTGACCTTGAATTCACCTTCTGGGATTTTGATTATTATATGTTACAAACAGCTTTTCCTTTTGTTATAATTATTTTGAGTTCTGTGTGTATTACTTAACTGTATTATAAGTTGTTTTTCTATACTTGAAAAATTTTGAGCTATAATCTCCAAATATTTTTTATTCCATGCATGCTGACTGCTAATATTTCTGTAATACCACATAGTCTTAGTTTAGTCTTTTTTTGCATAATCTAGTATTTCTTTGGTCAATTTTTCTTGCTCTCTTGGTTTTAAGTCATCTCTGAGTATGGGGTCTTGTGCTTCCTATCTGTTTTCAAGGCCTGGCACTCTCCTTACATTGATCATTTAAACTGTCATACATTCAATAGACTTCCTGTTCTTTGGATTTTCTGTTTGGCACCTCTCTGTGGACTCTATTTCTTTGGTAAACTTGTCCATTATATCTTGTGTGGTTTTGGTTAGCTCTTGTGCTTTATATTTGATTCTTGTTTAACCACATTGTTCAGTGTGTTAATTCCATTTTATACACACACACACACACACACACACACATCCACGCACATATATATTTATACATCACTCTTGATCTCACCAAGTTTCCTTGCTTCCTTTTTGATAATTCTGTATAATTCAGCTATGTGGTGTTTGAGTTCCTC